GGAAAAAAGGGGGAGGAGTAGCACTCAGACCAAGGGCAGGGATGCCCCACTGACCACCCAGGCTGCTTCCCGAAGGGAGCTATTAACACACACAATCTCCATCCTTCACCAGCGCCCTGCCAGGGAGGGCCTGGCCCCATTTTACAGATAAGAGAACTGAGGCACTGAGAGAAAAGACACTAACTCAAGGTCACAGCATTGAGGAGCTGAGATTAGAACTTGGGGCTGTTCTACTTTCCTGCCTCTTCCTGAGAAGCAGGCCTGTGCGAGCATCCCCCCCACTGCCCGCCAACCTTCCTGCCCAGCGTCCACTCTGGCTCCACCAGTAACCAAACCCCAGGGGTCCTGGCAAGGAGGAAGGGGCTGGGACTGGGTCAATATGAGAAGACTAGGAAGGAGATGGCGTCAGGGATGGGGGAGGGGGCGGGGCTCTCCTGTGGCTGGTCCTGTCCCTGGTGGTCCCAACGTGGGGGTGGGGAGAGGGAGACAGATAAAATCACCCAGAACCAGAGAACCCTGGGGCGTAAGTGGCCTAGTTCTGGGACACAGGGACACTGGAGGCAGCAACCAGGTTGTCTCAGAAAAGCACAAGGGCCCGGGCTGTGGAGGGTGTGGACTGACGGGGTTCCCGAACCCCTGGGAAGGTGACACGACAGACGGCTAGGAGATGGCACAGTCTGTGGGAGAGAGAAGCTGGACAAATCCACCGGCGAGAGGGTCTCTGGGCAGAGAAAGCAAGATAACCAGAAGACGGGGAGTGGCCCAGAGCCAGGAAGGGGTGGGTGCTTTCGGGGTGCCCAGAAAGCAGATGCTGCTGCAGGCCTGGCCTGGGCACAGGAAGGGGGGGGGAGATGAGGAGGCCCCTGTGGGAGAAACACCCCCAGGAGAAGGCAGCAGGGGGGAGGCAAGAGGTGGCACAGAAGGTCCAGGAGAACCAAGAGGGTGTGGGAGCGGCAGGCGGGCGACCCAGGCAAGGGGCGCATCCACTCCAAGGGTGCGGAGCCCGAGGGCGGCATGAACCGTCGGGAAAACCCATCCTCAGACGGCAACAGAGGGCACAGGCCCGCGGGGAGAACGAGTGGGGAGAGGGCGGAACCTGCAAGGCGTGGAAGGACCCGGGCCGGTCACAGAGGTGGCCCAGCGCAGGGACCAGGGGAGCACAGGCCCGGGAGGGAGGATGCTCCCCAGGGAAAGTGGTACCTGCCTGGAAAGGGGGGCCACAGTGCGCCAGAGGGGGTGCCAGTGTTGCTGGGAGAGGTGGCACAGACTCAGGAAAGCGTGGCGGCATTACATGGCAGAGGAGGGGTGGCACCGGTGGGGGTGGCCCAGGCGACACTGGCAGAGGGCGCTCGGGCTGGGCGAGGGCAGCGCGACGGGACAAGACCAGGGCCGGTGCCAGGGGCCGGGCTGCGGCCAGCGGCACGACTGGGGTCCAGGGAGGGGGCGGCGCAAAGTGGCAAAGGCCGAGGGTGCTCAGGGCCGGCTGCGGAGCCCGAGAT